GACCGGTACAGCGCCCGCTTTACAGCAGATGTTACACCTTTACCAACAAATCGGTAAAGGAAAAATTTTCACATTATTTTTTAAGGTAAATCAAAGTAGATGCCTAAATATGTTGTAAAGTGTGTTGAAAGTTTTTTTTTACTTGATTTTGAGTGAATATGATCCAACTGAAGACAAAAATAATGGTGACAAATAAATGTTTGGATAATCTTTGAAAAGAACAAACATTCAATAACAAGTCTTTTAAGCCAGATAAGAAAAAAAAATAACTAATGGATGTAAAAACTTCAGATTTCTTAACATTTATTAAATGTACCATCATGGTCTGTTCTGTGCAGAATGACAAAATGTAAAAATATTTCTTTCTAAAACCTCTTTAACTTTGCTTCAGTTCATTTTAGCAGCATGAATCTTTGCACATGTAATGTCCACAAGTGGATTTATTGTTTCCAAGAGTTTTTAACCTTCATCATTATGGTTTTAAATGGGTTATATACTGTCAAACGAAAAAATTATGCAGGTGAGAGTAAAAWACAAAGTTCCACCCCCAGTATCTCTAAAACCACAGTAGCTGTTTTAATACTCACACTTCTGAGGAAATCTCTCAAGTGTTAGCTTTATTTTGATACCAAAAACATCAAGAAAACCCCTTTGGGGCTTAAGAGGTTAAAGGTTTTGGACCCAAAGTGCAGAATCTTTATTTTTAAAATGACAAAACAGAACAAAAAGCTTTCATGGCAGCAAAACAAGAAAACCAACCGTGATTCAAGAATAAACCAGCCAGGATGTCAGCAGATCTAATGCCAGACTCCTGTCAGACCAAGACTGGAGTCCATGAAGAGTCAGAACTCCTCAGTGCCAGCACCTGTTCACTGAGGCGGGAACAGAAACACACCGAATTTAACAGATGAATCAGGAGAGACATGAAAAGAACCAAAAATACAGAGTAAATCCTAAACACAAACATAGAGCTTGACAAAAAATCTTTCAGTTTAAGGAACTTGAAAGAGGAAAAACCAGTGTTTAGTAATTATAAAAAATGTAAAACAGAAAAACTATGCATCTGTGTACATTTAGCTCCTAAGCAGCGGGCGTCTCTTTAAACGTGTCTCCATGATCCTCCTCCTTCTAACCTGCTGCTCCTTCTAACCTGCTCCTCCTTCTAACCTGCTCCTCCTTCTAACCTGCTGCTCCTTCTAACCTGCTGCTGGACCTGTATCTGGGACCTTCAGCAGTGGGTTTAGGGTTCTTGCCCTGCTGGAAGGTAGTCCTCCGGCCCAGTCCCAGATCACTGGAACACTCAAACAGGTTTCCCTCCAGAATTTCTCATTCCTTCATCTTTGGCTAATTTTTCAGTCCCTACTAATAAAAATAAACTTAACTTTAAACATAAATTCTGTTAAGAGAGAGTTTTTACAACCTGAAGATGTTTGTGAAACCTAAATTCAGCACCAGATTGAAGGAGCGGTGTTCTTTAATTCAGGGAATAAGATTATGGAATAATCTGGAGAGTGATGATTTTACAAATGAGATCTCAATCTCATTGGGGTTTTACCTGGTTAAATAAAGGAATTAAAAAAAGATTAATGGGTGTTTGAGAGAATGATAAAAGTTAGTTTATTGAGGAAATATGAAGTATAATATGTATCTGTATGGTTTGTTGTCCAAGAAGGAGTTGATGTTTTTGTTTTTGTTTTTGATATTTGTAGTATTTTATTGTTTAAATTTAGTTATTTTTTTAGAAAAAGAGCAAATATAAGACATTTTTCTTTTTTGTGCTACCTTTCATTTTCTTTGTGATTTACATTTTTTATATTTTGTTGAATTTATTTTGCTTTTTAAAATGAATAAAATTTCTAAAAAAATAAGCGTTTTCACTTGCGACCTGTCCAGGGTGTACCCCGCCCCTCACACTGTGACTGCWGGATATGGGCACCAGTGACMCTGAAAGGAATAAACTGGTACAGATGGATGGATGAATGAAAAAAATCCACAAAGCATGACACTGCCACCACCGTGCTTCACAATGAGGATGCTCTCAGCTTGATAACAGATGGGAGATTTGCCTCAGACTGCTGTTGTGTAATTTAAATACATTTAAGTGGTAATAAATCAATCAGTCATTGTGAAATAAAAAAACTCAGCTGCTCAAAACTTACTGAAAAGTTCTGTAAATAGTTTGTGTTTTGACACCAAAATACATGYGATATTTACTACTGCAGGACTGCACCGGTTCATCACTGTAGAGTTCTGACAGCTCCACTCTACACTGAGTGTGGACGTGTGAGATCCTCTCAGAGTGGAGGGTCATCAGGGTCTTTAACTTCATCAGACAGATGTTTCGATCAAAAGCATGACAGTCACAAAAACCAGATTAAACTAATCTGCATGATAGGTTACAGCAGAGCTTCTCATATACTTCATAAACTTAGAACTTGTCTTCAGCTCCAGTTGTGTCCCTTTTTGTTTTTGAACGTAAAGTTTAATGTAAATAAAGAACATCTACTAAACATTTGTGAAATGTTTTACAGAAAACAAAGACCAGTGATGTCATCATCCGGTGTAACGGACAACTCAATGCCCCCTGCTTCCCTGGCCTAGTCTCTTGTTTTCTACAAGTCTGCTGCTTTTATGTGTAGTTGTTTTGTTTTTATTAATAAAATCATTTTTTGATCTGGTCTTCTTAGGAATTATTCACTCTAAAAATGAAATGTTGGATTTATTAACCATGTTATGTTACCTGGTTCCACTTAACTGAGTTGAGTAAATTCAAAGCAACATGCTCATGTTCTTTGGTTAAAAAAACTGGTATGTTGCTTTGAATTTACTCAACTCAGTTAAGTGGAACCAGGTAACATAACATGGTTAACAAATCCAACGTTTCATTTTTTACAGTGTTGATTGATGAGCTTTTTGATTTTACTTCTCTGGCTGTGCATTAGTCCCACTTGGTTCAGATTAAATGATCCTATTTCAGGCGCCAAAGTCTTTTCAGGACAAAGAATCATTTTTCAACATTTTTATTTTGAGMCATTTTTATTGAGATTTTTATGAGACAAGAAGGAACCATTTCAGTTTGTATAAAACCCACTTTTTTGTTGTTGAGTTTTTTTTCTCTGGAAAACTAATTTCTTCAACCTCAGGGAAATTATCCTTGTCTTTAATATTCCTGCAGCTAATCATTTCTGCAAATAACCCCAGAATGTGGAGGTTTATGGAGCATCRTTTCATACATGYCAACTTGTACGGATTGTCTGTAAAGTTATAAGGATTTTACATCATTTTGCAGGGATACGGACGTATAGAGCAATCTCACGGAYTTTTTCAAGTCTTMCRGATTTTTTCAAAACCTCGTTTTCAAATTTACCTGATGTAACATGTTTATCTAGCCTGTAGGAGGGTTTAAACAACAATAAATAACATCAAACAGCCATCTTCCAACCTGTTCTGCAGCTAGGTTTTGAACTTTTTCTGCTCTCCTTTCCTCCAGGTGCTTCCATGTCCGCAGCTGACAGACCCCCACACCTCGCCCCCACCCCCGTGGGTGAGAGTTGTACGCATTTTTTGCAAAATTTACAGATTTYTGAGGCTTTTAATACAGGTAAACRTCCRAAKAGKTTGACGTGTGTRTCATTTGCMCGATTTGTTCTTTAATTTGATCTGAACTCATTTAGTCTCCTGATATTTCTGCTGTGATGTCAGCTGCTTGAACTGAACAAATCTGGGGTCAAAGGTCAGAAACGCAACAAGACTTTCTTTTTGCCACACAGAGTTCAACTTCTGTTAAAACTGTTTTTTATTCAACGCATTTACTTCCACATAAAAAGTTATAAAATATAAATATCTTTTCAATAATCAGCTGCACAGCAAACATTCACTAAATAAAGCTTTAAGTTAAATAAATAAGGAATAAATAATCTTCCAGTGGTTCAGTCCCGTCTTGTTTCAGTTTGGTTTCTGTTCCGACCACACGTCTCCCATGTCTGCACCGGGACACGTTCTGCTCCCGGCTTCAGCTGCGACCCGGATCAGTGTGTGGCTTCAATCAGTCCACGACTCCTCAGGAAACTCTCAGGGTCCAGACTTTCTGCTCCGTCTGAACCGTTCCTGACTCCTCTGCTGTGGGGGGACCTCCCGCCCCTCTGAGGAGGACTTGTGTTAAATAAAAGTCCACCCGCCCCGGCTCTTAGCCCGTTCTGGTCTTTCTGGTCAGCTCCAGGTACGCCGAGGACTTGAGGAAACGGGGGTAGCAGTCTTTCTCCATCAGGATGTAGATCTTAGCCTGGGACTCGTCGAAGCAGGACGGACCGGGCCGCTCCATGTTCTCCTTGGTGACGGCTTTGGTGGYGTGGTCGAGGTTCACCTGCCGGACAGAGGGAACAAACTGGTTAAACCGGTTTTAGGAGACGTGAGGGAGGCGAAGCTGCCAGGGGGGAGACACGCACCTCCCGMGGRGCGTCGGAGTCGACGAACTCCTCGTAGATCTTCTTCGCTTTCTGGGCCAGCTTGGAYGGTTTGGTGGCTCTGTAGTCCTCACAGGCCAGGTAGAAGGCCAGGTTCTCCTCGCTGAACTCGGACACCAGGAAAGCCCTGAACAGGCCCAGGCCGTCTGCAGACGGAGCAGGTTTTCAGGTCAGCATCGTCACACAAACACCTGGTCAGATTATCAAAGTGTAAGAGCAGAGGAGMGAGGACTCACTTTGGCTGGACAACAGATTCTCAAACGACTCCTTCCACCTCAGAGGCTCGTTCTCCTCATTTAACCTGCAGCAACAAAAACACACACACAAGTCTTAGACAGAAATAATAATAAAAACATTACAACCTGCTGTATTTTTACAATCTGAATATTTACTTTAGTTTGTCACTTTTCCTGAAGCTGTGGTCGGATTTCTGCAGGAAGCTTCCAAACAACGCCCTCAGCTCCTTCGCCCTGCAGGGATGAAGAGAAACTCTTAGAAACTCACACTCTGCAGTCCTCAGCTTCATGTTGGACACACACACATACACACATACACACACAAAAAGCATCAAGTGTCCTGTGAGCTCACCTCTCCAGGCAGGTGCTGGGCAGTGAGTCCAGTTCTCGGCACATGTTGAGATCTGTGAAGAAGTTGCTTCTTGTTGATTGATGCAGCTCCCTGCTCTGCTGTGCTGTCGCTGCGTCTGTGTGGGAAAGGGACTTCTTATAGAGGCCGGTGTGTGACATCACGCCTCGCAGCCAATGGCAGGAGCCGTGTGGGTGGATGTGGAGCCTCCTCGACGCTGCTTTTCCTCCTCACTGAATGACGAGCGGCTGAATGCGTTACTTCTCAGCTCCTGAACGTCCTTGTGGTCATTAAGGGCCTCAGGAGTGTGTCTGTGTGGGTTTGTGACACTAGTGTGTGTGTGTG